CGGGGCCTGGCATGCGCACACTGCAGGACCTGCGCAGCTGGGCGACGCATGCGTGTGGCACGAGGTGTCCTGGGGCGCGCGGGGTTATTTCCGGTGTGCGCTACCTGTGAAGCGAGAGGTGAGTGCTTCCCTGGGCTCGTGTCTGGCGACCTTGGGAATCTGGGGAGCTGAGCTGAGATTTCCGTATTATTTTGTGAGTTCCAGAGAAAGTAATATGAACAATTTTCCATAAAACAATGCTGGTGCTGGGGATGTAGCTCAGTGCTGAAGCAACAACTAATAGTTATGAAGATCCGGATGTATCTGAAAGTGCTCGGTTCGGGCTTCGCCGTGATCCAGGCAAACACAGTACTGGCTATTTTTAGTATTTATGTACGAACTGAGGGATTATACAGCCCTTTCACGCAGCCTCTCTTCTTCCGTAACTAATGGGAGAAGTTTTTACTGGTCAAGCAGGCCTGGGTTAAAATCCCAACCTCACCACCTTGCAGCCCCATCAGATTTCCCAAGTTAAAGCACAAGTCACCCCTTAAATTTGAATTTCAGATAAACAACGGATCCTTTTTTAAAGGGGAGCTACTTCCCATGTAATCCTTACGACATACTTTTACTGAAGTTATTTCATGGTTTAACTGACGTTCAAACTTAACCGGGCATCCTTTATTTTACCCAGCAGCCCTGCCAGTGCTCCCTGGCCTCCCCTTCCAGACACCCTGAGCTACTTCCTGCCTTCTCCCCCAGCCTCCTAGAGCTGAGGGTGGGAATTCTGAAGCCCAAGGACAGAGTCCTGACTCAGAACCGTGTCCTTGACCAAGAGGAAGTTGGGTGAGACCCTAAGGCAACATGGCTCCAAGGCCTGGGTCCCAGAACAGTCACCTGACCACACACCTGCTCCAGAGAACTGTTTTATTCCTTCAGTTCCTGGTTATTGGATAGTTTTGAAATGAAATTCTGAATATAAACAGTGGACTCCTTCTGTCCGTGCTGATGGTTGCCCAAGAGTGTGTGTGTGTGTGTGTGTGTGTGTGTCCTCCGTGTGTAAGCATCGTGTTGAGGGCCTGGTCATTATCACAGTACTTCTCAGTGCTTACCCTGAGCTGTCCAGTACGAGCTCTGAGGGCTTGGCTGTGAACAAGGGGGGAAGGGGGAACTGAAGGTAAACAGGAAACACTTAATGAAGTTATGGGGTGAAAAGTACACTCAGCAACCCTGCGAGGTAACGATTGTTATCCCCATTTCACAGGTGGAGAAACTGAGACTTGGAAAAGTTGAGCTACCTTCAAGGTTGCCCTTCCAGAAGGTGACAAAGCCGTGACTTCGCTTTCATGCTCTTAACCCTTAGGATGGGAGGCACCTCCTGGGGTCTGACTGGGAGCAGAGGGTCCTCCCTGGGAGCTCTTTTGCCAGTGGAATTCCTGTTTGGCCTCAGTTTTCTTCTCAGATGAAGGTGCTGTGGCAGGTGGGCTTCGGTACGTCACCCTACTGAGGAGCATGCCCAACAGAAGGCCCCGAGGACCAAGGTGAGTCGATGACACCATCAAGGCTTTTGCCAGAGGCACAGCTGTCCTGTGACTGTCCTGGACTGGAGCCCTGTGTGGCCTCTTTCCAGCGAGGGAAGGCCTCCAGCTGGTTGGAGTCATGCTACACCTGCCTTTTCGGCAGCCGACACCACAAGGTGCAACTTGAAAGGGCCTCCCAGGGCTCCGCACTGCCATAGGCCAGAGTGAAGGATTAGCAAGCAGGTCCTTCCAGCGGTTGCAGCTGCCACTCCCTGCAGGTAACTTGTGAGTTCTTGCGTGTACCCAGGCAGCTGTTGGTGCCGCTTTCACATCACAGGAAGGCAGCACTCCGGCCCCAGAAAGGTGTACGTGCCCCCAACAACCCACTGCAAATGACCCTGGAGGGTGCCCACCTCAGAGTCCATCCTGCGGTCTTTCCTCCAACCTCAGCCGGTGCTCCCCAAGAATCAAATCAGTCTGAGGTCCAGAATTTCCACATGGGGGGAAATGTTTAATTAGGCGCATTTTTCAGTTCTGCCTCTCAGATACCACAAAAGGAAAAGGAGCTGGGCGAGGAGGGGGATGCCTTTTGTACAACCAGAAAAGGCTGGGTGTGGTGGCGCACGCCTATGATCCCAGCACTCGGGAGGCTGAGGCAGGAGGATTGCTGCAAGATTGAGACAAGTCTGAGCTACATAGTGAGTTCCAGGTCAGTCTCAACTACGTAGTGAGACCTTGTCTCAACCCCCCACCCCCCAAAAAGAAAAGAAAACCACCAGATTAATTTAAAGCAAATTCCAGGCTTCACATCATTTCATCCATAGGTATTTCAACATGTACTTCTAAAGAATAAAGACCCCTTAAAACTTTATCATGCTAGAATGTGTCTTATTGGTCACTCCTTAACATTACCAAATGTTCTATCTGTTGGAGAGTTTCCTTTTTTTTAATTTAAAAAACATTAGTTTTAATTGGCAAATTGTAACTACATGGGCTGGGGATTTAGCTCAGGGGTGCTGTGCCTGCCTCACAAGTGCAAGGTCCTGAGTTTGATCCCTGATGGGGGAATTGTTTTCCTTAAATCATCAATACATTCTGTTCTGGTTTGTACCTCCATGTTTTCCCAAAGCCTCGTGTGCTCATAGGTGAGGCTTTTGGGAGGCTGCTGGATCATGGCTGTGTGATACTGGATTAAGGGTGCATAATCCTAGATTAGCCCACTGATTGGTTTAGTAGTTCTGGATGTGACAGTGGATTTACTGAAGACAGAAGCCACATTCTGGGTGTGTCACAAATGATTGGATTTCCTTTTTAAAGCTAAATAATATGCCATTGTTCATATAGGTCGCATTTTCTTTATTCATTCACTGGTTTGTTGACAGAAATTTACGTTGATTCCACATCTTGCCTCACCACAATGGAGCATAACCTCTCACCTATAAGAATGGCTACTGTCAAAAAGATAAAAGATATCACAGCATGGTAGTGTACATCGGTAATCCTAGCACTCTGAAGGCAGAGGCAAGAGGATCCCTGTGAGTTCAAGGCCAACCTGGGCTGCATAGTGAGTTCAGGGTCAGCCTGAACTACACTGCAAGAGCTTGTCTAAAACAAAAAGAAAAAAAAATAAAGGAAGAAGATAAATGTTGGTGAGGATGTGGAGAAAAGAGTTGCCTTGTCCCTTGGTGGGGATGTAAATTAGTACAGCTACTGTGGAAAACAGTACATAAGTTCTTCAGAATGTGAAAAATGGAACTACCATATGATCCAGCCGTGTCACTCTTGGATATTTAGCCAAAGGAAATGGAGTCATTGTGTCCTGAAGACACCTGCAATTCCATCTCTGTTGTGGCATTATTTACCTGGTCAAGGTACGGCCTCACAAGTTGTCTTTGTGGTCCTTTCCCCTCAAGGTGGGAATATGATGCTGTCCCTTTGGCTCCTTAGTGCTAGGGATTTTCCTCCTCTTTTCTTTTCTTTCAATTTATTTTTTGAAGCATTGCTTGTCCTAGAGAGTTTCTTGCAATTAAGAGTTGGTGGATTGCAGCCCTGTGGTGTCGATTAACATGTTTTTCTGTTTCTGGTGTTGGCTGGATTCAGAGTTGTCACTGATTTTTTTTTTTTTTTTAAGAATGTTTCCTAAGTGGTTTAAAATATTTATGGCTTCTGTTGAAATTGTTCAGAGATTTCATGCCTGGGGGCTTTGGGTTGAGAACTTGAGAACTAACCAAAGCCTCATGAAGTGAAAGAGAAGCCAAGTTTGGAGACTAAATCCACTCAGACAAATCCGTGCCTACTGTAAAACCCCTTCACAGAAGATGCCCCTGGTGGCTGATATTAGAAGGAGCTTCCCTCCACCAAACTCTGTCTTCCTGTGGGTTTGCAGGGAAGGTTCCTCAGCCTGTCCCTTTCTGTATTGCTGGCAGATACGGTAGCTTTTTACCACTGCACAGCCTGACTCCTCCTCGCTGATTGTTACTCCTTTTTCCTCACATCCCATAAGGGCTGCCGCTTGCCCTCCTTTGTGGGAACAGCCAAAGTGTGACCTCAAGTCACGCACAGAGCCATCTTCCAGCTCTGCTCGAGTCCAGCCCCTGCTCTATGAGACAATTAGTTGACAATAACCAGGAGTCTTGCTTTGATTGAAGGAGTCTTTTAAAATTAAGGCATTTTTCTGCTGCTCTGCTGCTGCTGTTTCTGTTATTTTCTTTTACCCTAAGACTGCATGGGACAGTGTTTTGATAGACACAAAAAGCCAGAAGGAATGTTCAGTGCGAGGGCTGTCACCTTGAAGCTGTTTGTACTGGAGGGGTCCACGCAGGCCCCCCGGGGGGGATGGAGACCCCCAACTCGCCCGCACCCCTGATAGGTTGTAGGTTGTCTGACTGCATCACAAGAATTTCAGGGTGTATCAGTGAGGGGCGTAGGCAGGCAAGGTAGGATGTGTATTTCTAGGGTCGCGTGGCACCTGTTAGGGACCAGGCCAGCGTGGGAGCCAGTTGTGTGTGTTTGAAGGTTAGAAAGCTGGTACAGTTGATGGTAGGTACTGTTCTCTTGCAGGTGGAAGTGTGTGGAATTTGTGGATCTATAGCATAGGAAGAAAACTCCAGGCTCTATGTACAGGAGAAAACCACAGGGCCCAATTTACAGACTTACCGTGCCATTAAGATTCTTAGGAATTTTTTGAGTGAGTTTCTTGGAAAGGGAAAGAAAAACTTTGTAATCTTGGATAACTTTGTCTTCTAAAGCTGCTTTTTTTAAATTAAAGTAAAATTTTAGCTGGACGTGGTGGTGCACACCTGAGATCCCAGCACTATGGGAGGCCGAGGCAGGAGCATCACATATTTGATCCCAGCCCAGGGAACTAAGTGACTTAGTAAGATCGTGTCTCAAAATAAAAAAGGGCTGAGGATGTCGTTCAATGTGAAGGTCCTGGGTTCAATCCTCAGTATCGAAAAGAAAGAAAGAAGGAAGTGAGGAAACAAAGAACCTTAAAATTAAAGATGTTCTCCTTTCTCCTCTCTTTATTTATTCTGCTCTCAGCAGAGTGACCTGATATGCGTGTGGCAGAGTCCTCATTCATCCAACAAACAGGATAAGCACCTTCATGTTTCCCAGCATCTTCCTGGACCTGGAGATTCAACAGAGTACAAACAAGATCACCAGGTACCTCTATATGCAATGCTGATATCTTTGTGGGGAAGTATATGATAAAGAAAAAAATCCCAATGCCCAATGTCAATTTAATAATGATGTTCTCAGCGAAGATACATCTGGTTAAGGAAAGCAAGCTATCAGGCAAAAAACAGTAGAGAAGGTGGGTAGCAAAGCCCTGTCTCTGCTTTGGGGAAGGGCACATGCAAAGGCCCTGGGGTGAGGTCTGCTGGGAGAGCAGAGAGGGAGCATGGTAGGGGACAAGGTGGGAGAGGGTGCTCCTGGCATCTAGTGAGGAGAAATTGGGGTGCTGCTAACCGCAAGGCCCAGGATGGCCCACTATGAGAAGGAGGCAGTCCCAAATGTAAGGACAGAGGGAAGTTGGAGGCAGGGTGATGTCAGGTACCTTGTGGGAGAATGGGTTTCAGGGAGGAGCTCGGAGGCAGCCAGACTGGGAAAAGGTGTTCCTGAGCAGGGAGCTGGCCTGGAGGGTGCAGAGGAGGCGGGGGTCAGGTGATCATAAAGGAAGCCATGGCGACACACGTTTTGGAGGTGTTGTATACTGTGTCTGGCGTGAGTCTTGGAGCGAGACTGATTGAATCCAAATCGTGGCTTTGCTGCTTGTTTCTGAGGAAGTGGAGAAAGGCCCGGGCATGGGCTCCTGTCAGCAGCAGCTGCCCTGAACATTGTGGGACCGGCCCAGGTGCGGCAGGCGTGGCGCCTGACGGGAGATCGTTGCTTTGGGTGCAGCCCAAGGGTTCTCCCTGCCGTCCCTCTGCATGACCCTGCCGCTCTGCAGCCTCCCCAGCTCCCCTGCCCCCGGCCACCTCGGGTGAGCTCGCTCCCGCGGTCAGGTGGGCCTGAGGGGCGGCATCAGTCCTGAGAAAGCTTCCCCTCCCCGCCACGTTTCGCTTACCCGTGACTTCTCTTCATCTACGCTGGTGCACAGCGAGCTGGTAAGGCTGCGGACGCACCGTTTACTCCTGAGGGTGGCCAGCTGTCAGAGAACAACAGAGTGGCCGGGAGAGTCCTGAGGCCTTCTGGTAGCTGCTGGCTCAGCGCAGCAAGGATCTAATAGCTGCTGGCACGCAAAGCCCCAGGGATATTAAAATGAAAAGAATTAAACTTTGCCAATTCACGATTTCTGTACAAATTGAGCAAGAACCTCACTGGATTGATATCCTCTTGGAAGCTCGTATAGAAACCCTTCCCTTTGGTTTTTATTTTCAATATTTTTATTAGTACAGTAAGTCCTCGACTTACAAATGAGTTCCGTTCTGGAAGAACATTTATAAGATAGGTGAGTCTTACTCATCTTGGACATAACTATGCAACGCAAAGCATAAACTACGCATGTTCCGTGATCTTTAGAGTTGTGCTAGTGGTTGAATGATCCATGTTACGAGAATAAGTGACGTCTACCATCTTTTTGTGTTGGTCCAGTCTCTCGATCATTTTCATGCTCGTTTCCATGGTTTCTGCTTTGCACTTCCTCGCCGTCCCCCCCACATCACCACTGCTTTTCTTCCTGCTTCGGGGCAGCCTGGGCTTGGATTGAGCACCGTGCCTCTGGACGCTGTCACACGGCACAGTGAGCACACAGAAGCACGATGGTGCCAGAGCCCAGCAGACTTGTGAGCTGCTTCTGTGATTGGTTCTCATCTGTGAATGTTTGTAATGCAAGATCAGTTCCTATCTGTGAAAGTTCACAACTCGAATGATCGCACGCATTTGTGTTACATGATTACATGCCATATGGGGAATGGGTCAAGTGCGTAACACATCTTAATTCTTTTGTCACTGCCTTCCTTCTCCTCTCTTGGTCCCTTCCCCATTCGGAAAAGATGCACCTCCCTATTTCCTATTATTTACCTTTTAAGCTTCTCATATAAGAGAAACCCTGTGATTTTTTTTGTTTTTTTTGTTTTTTTGAGACAGGGTCTCACTATGTAGTTGAGACTGACCTGGAGCTCACTATGTAGCCCAGGCTGGTCTCAAACTCACAGCAATTCTCCTGCCTCAGCCTCCCAAGTGCTGGGATTACAGGCGTGCGCCACCATGCCTGGCAACCCTGTGATATTTAAGCTTGTATTTCTGATCTATTTCCCTTAATATTATGGTCTCGAGGTGCACCCGTTTTCCTACAGATGAATCAAGTTTATCCTTTATGGCAGAGTAGAACTGCACTAGGTACAAATACCACATTTTTTTATCCGTTCATGGTGAACATACGGATCCTTTCTAAGCTTTAGCTATTGTGAATTTTATATCACAATAAACATAGGTGTGCACTGTATCACTGCAATATGATGTCTTTAACTCTTGGGAAGATACGTAGAAGGGGAACAGCTGGATCAAATGGAACTTCTACTTTTGTGTTTTGAGGAACCTCCATACTGATTTTCATAATCGTTGTCCTAGTAGTTTACATTCCTACCAACAATGTATGTAGAAGGGTTCGTTTCTCCCTGCTGCGTAGCCAGCATTCGTTATTCTTTGATTTCTTGTGACAGCCATTCTTTCTAGAGTAAGATGATATCTCAGCGTTGTTCTAATTTGCATTTCTTTAATGGTCAGCGATGCTGAACATATTTTCATGTATTTATTGGTCATTTGCACGTCTTCTGAGAAGTGTCTATTAGTTTCAGTTGCCCTTTTTACGACTGGGTCTTTTATTATGGGATATCTAATTTTTTTGAGTTCTTTATATATTCTAGATATTAGTCCTCTGCCCAAGGAGTAGCTGGCCTGAAGTTTTTCCCATTCTGTAGGTTGTCTCTTTACTCTCTTGGTGGTTTCCTTTGCCGTGCAGGAGCTTTTTAATTTGTTCTGATCCCGTTTGTTGATTCTTCATGTTATTTCTTGTGCATTTGGGATTCTGTTCAGAAAGTCCTTGCCTATGCCTGTGTTTTCAAGAGTTTCAGCTATTTTATATTCCAAAAGATTGTTTTTAACATTTAGCTTTTTGATCCATTTGATTTTAATTTAATACCTGCTGAGATATATGGGTCTAGAGTAAATCTTCTGCTGTGGATCCTAGCACCATTTATTAAAGAGGTTATCTTTCTTGCAGCATATGTTTTGACCCCTTTGTCCAAGATTACATAGCTGAAGGTGCCCTGGGTTGTTTCTGCCTCCTCTGTTCTGTTCCACTGGTCCATGTGTCTGTTTTTGTGCCAGGACCATGCTTTTTTTTTTTTAAAGCACCATAGTTTTGTAATATAACTTGAAGTCTAGGATTATGATATCTCCTACTTGTTCTTATTGACCAGGATTGCTGTCTTCTGTCCCTTATGTATTTTAGGGCTGTTTTCTCTAGTTTTATGAGGAAAGCTTTTGGTGTTTCGACTGGGTTTGCATTAAATCTGTATATCAGTTTCGGAAGTATGGCCATTTTTACAGTATTGAAGAACCCTTCCCTTTAAGCCCCTGAAGAAGTGGGCAGACAACAGGGACAGTGGCTCACGGGCTCAGGAATCAGACCATGTTTGATTTTCATCCTGTGAGCAGCCAACAACCCATGCTGGACAGTCATGTTTCTGTGTGGTCTTGGGTAGGATTCTCAATCTCTCTGTTCCTCGGTTTCTTCATTTGCAAAATGAAGATAGTAAAAGTGCTCACCTCCTAGGGCTGGTGTGAGACGCCAGTTAGTTAACACATGTCAGTGAGTGAACGTATGTCCGGCACATTGTGACTACTCGGCAAGTAGCGTGGAACACGAATGCATATCCTGAGGGGTGTCACCGTGCACACCCACAGACTGAAGGCTGCAAGTCCTCAGTGACAATCCTGCCAATCATTTAGCCTGCCTTAACCAAACTCGCTGTTCATGATCCCCAAGCCCACCCCGTGAGCATTCGCAACACCGGGGGTCCTCAGGCCACCTTGTAAACCTAGCTTCATTGAAATATAATTCACACACCACGAAATTCGGGGTTTTGAAAACTCAGTGGTTTTTAGTAAATTCAGAGTTACACAACACAATCTAATTTTAGAACAAGAAGCTCTGTCACTTTTAACCTCCTCCCCCGATCCATTCCTGCCTGTAGTCCTGGGCTGATCAGAACTTTGCCATTTCCAGCTGTGTGATCTTTAGCATGGGGTTTATTCTTCTCTGTGCCTCTCCTTTCCCACTTATAAATGGGAATGAGGATGAAACAGGCTGTTTATGTAAAGTGCTTGCCGCAGTGTCTAGCAGTCAGTCCTGGAGCCGTGTCACTGCTGCTGGCACCTGTGTGTCCATGCTGCCAGGGGTCTTGATTTTATTTATTTATTTTTTGAGACAGAGTCTTGCTATGTAGTTCTGGCTGGTCTCAAACTTGAGGTGATCCTCCTGCCTCGGCCTCCTGAGTGCTGGGATTAAGGTGTGCTCCCCCACACCCGGCTATGCCAGGTGTCCTGAGGTGAGCACTGTGGCTTTGGGGGTGCAGTTGCAGACAGTGCTGTGATGCAGGGTGCAGGGCTTCCTCCCGGCAGGACACATGGTACCCACAGCTTCACCGCCACTAGATTGTGCCAAACGAGCCTCTGCAGAGACTGAAGCAGCGTGCGCTCCCCACGGAAGAGTCCCTGTCACTCCTGTCCTTCCAGCTCCTGCTGTGCCCATCTGCCAGGTGTGAAATGCCTGTGGTTTTCACTGAGACAGTACTTATAGGATGGTCTTATTTAGCTTAGCATCTGTAGGCAGGGTTTGCAGTAGGCGTTAACAGTGTCTGAGTTCCATAGATGAAGGATCCGGCTGAGAGGTCAAGGGCCCTGGCCATCCCCGGGCTCGGCCTCAGCTTTCCTCTGCCTCCCCTGGGGCTCGGCTGACAAGCACACGTGAGAAAGATCCAGGGTGACTGTTTTCTGTTGAGAAAGCTAAGACCTGTATTCATTCTTTCATCCAACAAGTGGTTACTAAGCATCTTACTCTCTGCCAGCTCTGTCGGAAGAAATAAAGTCCCCATTTCCAGGGCTCATGGTCCAGTGAGGAGAGATGGCAAATAAAAATCGGCATCGGCAATAAGCCA